GCTCCAGAAATTTGATCAGGGGTCTAGTATCGTAGTCAGCAGGTAATGTCAAATTGATCCATGGAAGAACTAACGGATTGCCACGATTTCGTCTACCTTTAAGGAGTCGCAACGTGATAAGCATGCCCAATTTCACACTACCCGGGTTCTCCTCATCTCGAAGAGCGTAAAGTTAAATGTCTCTATACTCAACAGCCTCATTTTGCTCAAGGTATCCGGTGGACTCAACGATGGTACCGGCACGCGACGTGGTCGATGCGCAGAAAAGATTCAAAGCCGCGTGCTGAACCCGCTGCCGCTCCTCTGGATAATATTCATCGCTAAGGACCCAATGGTGGTGAAGGATGTCAAGCACGTCGTCCGCATTCATCACCGCCCTAAACCGACCGGTTTCCCGGAGCTCAAACTCATCAATCAAGAGCGATCCATGATGAACTATGAAGTAGAATCTCTCATTAGCAAGACCATCTATATCGAGTATCTAATAAATAGAGCCCGTACGTTCTTTATGTCCATCTTGATAGATTCGTCCACAGGATAATGTATATGAACGCGAACCGCAATCCTCCAAAATTTTGCGAAAGTAAAGAGGGTGGACGACGATTTTATATTTGAGGTCTCACAGCTCCATTCCAAGAATGATCGAACGACTTCATAGGATAAATGATTCTCGCATATTTTGACAGGATCGGGGGTTGGAAAGTAACTCGACTCTTCATAGACCTGCTGACAGAACCTAATCACACTTGGTCAGTGTCTATCACTTGATCAGTGTCTGAAGGGAACAAAGATAGGAGACTTACAGAATCCATCGTATCCATGCATTTTCATACGATTTTTTAGTGCTGTCCGCATACTTAGGTGTTGTCGGTTTAGTGCTTTGACCCAGTTTGCTAATCAGCTCTTTGAATGGTCGTGAATGTCTTTTTGTCTTTTGCTTTGCATGAGTGGATGGTGAGACTGCCATTGTTGGGTCTTTGGGATGGCATTGTTGCGGAGAGGGGAGCAACTTTTTATATGCAGATTCGGATCCATTGAGTCGTTTCTGCTATACTAAAGAACAAATTAGGTTATAACCTGATTAAGGGCGACAATGAAGTTGGGTGGGTGGAGGGGAATTCTGCAAAAAAACGGCACCCCCAAATCAGGTCCCTTGTCTAGCGTAGGTGCAGAGGGTGCCAAAAGCAGCGTCAAAAGGGTCCCTGATTTGGCACCCTTTTACACTCTGATGTACAGTTACTCCGTATTAAGTACGTAGTAATTGATATTTCTGGGCGTGTTCAACAGATATATGCGTGGTCAATCGACCGCTCTCGGCCCATGAAACAGGGATGGCAAACAAGGCTCTGGCGCACGCTGTTGGCAAACGTCACGGATGTATGGGTAATGTATCATCAGTGGTGTTGGACATCGTCAGGCTAGATAAAGATGAACAATGCTGCCAAGTACTTAGGTGCTCGTTGAAACAACAGCGAGTGTCTTGGAGGACATGGACAAGTCACTTTCATAAAAGCCAACCTCCTTCTAAGCGCCCCAGGAAGATCAGCCGCAAGTGATTGGTTCTTGTCTGCAAATGGACCTTGCAGACTCATTGGTGTGGGTGAGACTTAGGCTACGTAGTAAGCTCGAGCGGCATCACTCTAGGCCCAGACCGGTGGTGAGCTCGGGGCAGATTATTCTTTACTTGGCACGAAACCTCGCACACACAATTTCGAAATCTAAAGATACAAACTTCGATTTGTGTGGTCCACCGTCAGAACTCTCGACTGTCCCATTTTCTTGCCATAGATTGTCTGTAGCTGCGGAGCTACATACTGCAATCATGCCCGCAAATCTTCCTCCATGCTTCAACCCTACCGCTCAGGATGTCGAAATGCTTCTCGCAGCACAATGCCATCTTGGATCAAAGAACTTGCAGGTTCACATGGACCCATATCTGTGGAAGACTCGGCCTGATGGCATTAACGTAATCAATATTGGAAAGACCTGGTAAGGAATCATTCGTCTCAAACCTCCTGGCCAGATCTCGCTTGGTCTAGTCTACATCCTACCTCAGCTCTCACTAACGGTGACTCAATGATAGGGAGAAAATCGTCCTCGCAGCCCGCATTATTGCCGCAGTCGACAATCCAGCCGACATCTGTGTCATCTCCGCCCGTCCCTATGGCCAGCGTGCTGTCCTCAAATTTGCCGCACACACCGGAGCCGTCGCCATCGCAGGCCGTTTCACGCCCGGAAACTTCACCAACTACATCACGCGCTCCTTCAAGGAACCACGACTGATCATTGTCACCGACCCACGAACCGACGCCCAAGCCATCAAAGAAGCATCCTACGTCAACATCCCCGTCATCGCCCTTTGTGACACAGATTCCCCCACCGAATTCGTCGATGTAGCCATCCCAACAAACAACAAAGGTCGCCACGCTATCGGCCTGATCTGGTGGATGCTGGCTCGTGAAGTCCTCCGTCTGCGCGGTACTCTCGCTTCGCGAGATGTGGAGTGGGACGTTGTTGTCGATTTGTATTTCTACCGCGACCCTGAGGCCGAGGAGAACAAGGAGACGGGTGAGGAGGCCAAGGTTCCTGGCGCGGATGAGGTTGGAGAGACAGCGATCGCCACGGGCTATGCCGGCAATGCGGACTGGGAGGTCAGTGGGACGACGGCACAGCCATCTGCTGCGTTTGGGGATGGAGCGGCAGCGGCTCAGCCAGCTACGAATTGGGATACCAATGAGCAGACTGGTACGGATTGGGCTACTGGTGGTGGAGCCGTGCAGGCGGCGCCTGATTCTGGGTGGTAGTTGATGGCATGTGGAAAGGTCTGAACAAGGCGACCTCATATTGGCCTTTTCAAGTCTGAAGTTGCACCAGTCTTTCAACAACCAAGCGAAAGAAAAGAAAGTCTAACGCGAGTCAAAAAGGAATGATGACACAGATAGCTCCATCAGAACGGTGCTAATGAGGGAAAGATACTCATAAAGAGGGAAAGCCCTGTACTGGTTTTAGATAGAGCTCCAATGGACGTAGCTGTCCTGGCAAATCAGAAAGTTGCATCAATCAATACTAGATTTCTACTAAGAATTTAAAATATTAATTTATCATAATGAAGAAAGGTTTTAAGTTGTTCTCGTATTACAGAAAAGCGGGAACTGTCAAGAATTTGACACCTATCTCCGGGCCCTCTTAAATGCGGCATGCCTACCAGTAGCCTCAGCAACCAGCATGACATTACACAGGCGCCACAGCCCACAGACGACAACTGGTAACCCGTAATATGAAGTTAAGAATTATATGGGGGTGATGTAGGGTATGTCAACCGAGAAGCTAGAGCGATCCGTCTCCCTGTGACTTGTGGTAAGTGCTCAATCGGCATTTTCATTCCTCCCCTTAAAAAGAAAAAGAGTACCTGTCGACCTTTTTCTCATCTGGATGTCACTCAGTTTCTTTGCGGGTGGACTTTGGAACGGATTGCGCCAACCTCAATTCTAAGCACGCAGGGCTCTCTGTACCCACTACAGTGTTTGTCGGGTCGAAGCACCTACCTAATCTATGATTAACCCGGGCGCGGGGAGAAACAGACCTATATTCAGAAGGTATATTCAATCTGCAATTTGCTTACTTGAGCCGCTTCTCTGCCTGAATTTTTTCATCCGTGTACCCACTTTACATCCTGTTTCTGTTCCTTGCATCTTTCGACATCACCAACAACCGGTCGTCCACAGGAGCGCCCTGGGACGGTATTCTGCCTGAAACACGCACTTTTATCGCAACCGCTGATAACAGCTCTTACTCCCCCTCTCGATATCCTCTTCAGCAGCAACGAGGATTACATCCTCCGAAACTGGGAAGCCTTCACATATAGAAGTTTGGCGATCAAGCAGCTGCCAAGGTGGCCGAACAACGCGAACATCTACGCAATATCACGGAAAATGAGATGCTCAACATGATTTGGAAAGAAGTGCAAGCCGAAGGAGCTGGTAGGAAGGTGACGAACTGTGCTGACTAATCGACGGATCAGTGTGGAAATAGCAAGTTGTTCTATCTAATTCAGTGCGAAAGCACAGCGTACTTATCCCTTGTGCTGCGTTTTGGATCCCTTT